TTCCTAAACAATGTTGTATTACTGTTGCATTGCTTCTATTCATATTCAGTGTCGTTTATTCCTAAACAATGTTGTATTACTGTTGCATTGCTTCTATTCATATTCAGTGTCGTGTATTCCTAAATAATGTTGTATTTCTGTTGTATTGCTTCAATCTTATTCAGAGTAGTTTATTTTTTAACAATGTTGTATTCCTGTTGTATTGCTTCTATTCATATTCAGTGTAGATTGTTTCTAAACAATGTTGTATTTCTGGTGTATTGCTTCTATTCAGATTCAGTGTCGTTTATATCTAAACAATGTTGCATTTCTTTTGTACTGCTTCTATTCAGATTCAGTGTCGTTTATATCTAACCAATGTTGTATTTCTGTTGCATTTTTTCTATTCAGATTCAGTGTCGTTTATTTCTAAACAATGTTGTATTTCTGTTGCATTTTTTCTATTCAGATTCAGTGTCGTTTATTTCTAAACAATGTTGTATTTCTGGTGTATTGCTTCTATTCAGATTCAGTGTCGTTTATTTCTAAACAATGTTGTATTTCTGTTGTATTGCTTCAATCTTATTCAGAGTAGTTTATTTTTTAACAATGTTGTATTCCTGTTGTATTGCTTCTATTCACATTCAGTGTAGATTGTTTCTAAACAATGTTGTATTGCTTCTATTCACACTCAGTGTAGATTGTTTCTAAAAAATGTTGTATTTCTGTTGCATTGCTTCAATCTTATTCAGAGTAGTTTATTTTTTAACAATGTTGTATTCCTGTTGTATTGCATCTATTCACATTCAGTGTAGATTGTTTCTAAACAATGTTGTATTGCTTCTATTCACATTCAGTGTAGATTGTTTCTAAACAATGTTGTATTTCTGTTGTATTGCTTCAATTCACATTCAGTGTAGCATATTTCTGAACAACGTCGTATTTCAGTTGTATTCATTCTATTAGGATTCAGTGTAATTTATTCCTAAACAATGTTGTATTTCTGTTGCATTTCTTCTATTCAGATTCAGTGCCGTTTATTTCTAAACAGTGTTGTACTTCTGTTGTATTGGTTCTATTCAGATTCAGTGTCGTTTATTCCTAAACAGTATTGTATTTCTATTGTATTGCTTCTATTCATATTCAGTGTAGATTGTTTCTAAACAATGTTGTATTTCTGTTGCATTGCTTCTGTTCAGATTCAGTGTCGTTTATATCTAACCAATGTTGTATTTCTGTTGCACTTTTCCTATTCAGATTCAGTGTCGTTTATTTCTAAACAATGTTGTATTTCTGTTGTATTGCTTCAATCGTATTCAGAGTAGTTTATTTTTTAACAATGTTGTATTCCTGTTGTATTGCTTCTATTCATATTCAGTGTAGATTGTTTCTAAACAGTGTTGTATTTCTGTTGTATTGCCTCTATTCTTATTCAGAGTAGTTTATTTTTTAACAATGTTGTAATTCTGTTGTATTGCTTCAATTCACATTCAGTGTAACATATTTCTGAACAACGTCGTATTTTAGTTGTATTCATTCTATTAGGATTCAGTGTAATTTATTCCTAAACAATGTTGTATTTCTGTTGCATTTCTTCTATTCAGATTCAGTGTCGTTTATTTCTTAACAGTGTTGTATTTCTGTTGTATTGGTTCTATTCAGATTCAGTAGAAGGTCTTACCTGTACATTTTAATAATAATCAGATGTCAGGAATACATTACTGTGTTTTTAAGCAATAGTGAGGAAATGACTATATTTAGATGTTTTGGAGTCAAGTGTAATCTGGAATCTTCAACAGAATAATTCAGTTTTGCAGGAAGGTATTTAGACTATATATTGCGGGACAATCTCACATTACCTGAAGCTAGTGGAGATCATAATGTCACCCTGGATACATGGATAGACCTATTTGTGACTGTTTTGTTGCTGAGTGAGTGAGTATGGTTTTACGCCGCATTTAGCAATATTCCAGCAACATCACGGGAGACACCAGAAATGGGCTTCACAAATTGTACCCATGTGGGGAATCGAACCCTGGTCTTCGGCATGCATGGTGAATGAACGCTTTACCACCAGGCTACCCCACCGCCCCCGTTTTAACGAATGAATTTATGGTTCCTTTGAGTTCGTTATAACCGTAATTTACTATAATTGTCTCGATTGGGAAGTTCGCCTTCAAGGTTTCGAGTGAGACGGTACAAAAACTTGTGATATGATTTTGACAGCTTGATTCACGATATAAATGTAATTCATTGGATTATGACGTGTATGTTAAGCATCGGTCATTTGATTTTCTGGGACTGTTTTCCCGGGGGTGGTTTTATAGAAACCAATTGTCTCAGAAAATATGCTTCAGAGTGACACTGATACAAAAAGGTACAGATAAAATGTATGTATTCTCAGTGGCGAAACCATTGGGTTTTTTTTTGTCATTTTTTGCACTATATATGTACACTTCAAATTGTATTGATGACGCAATAAATTTTGTATGTGGAATATGAAAAATAGATTATTCTGTCCTATTATCATCATTTTCTTCAACATCAGCGCAGTTTTGTACACATATCTTGAAGTAAGAAGTTTGTGCTCTCTCCATCAGTGGGGCTGCAGCTGTCTCTCGTGAGTGAGTTTAAGTTTTTACGCCTTTAGCAAAACTCCAGCAATATCACGGCGGGGGACACCAGAAACGAGATTCACGCATTGTACCCATGTTAGGAATCGAACCCGGGTCTTCGGCGTGACTCTCTCTCACACACACACACACACAATTATGAACGGTCCCTTAATGTTATCATCAAATACAAAGTTTAGTCGAACTGGTTAATGATGCACAAGTGAGTGAGCTGGGAACGATGCAATATCACATCAGAGAAATCCATTTCCAATGATATGATGCTGAAAAACCAAGGACCTTTAGCACGAATCTGGATTCGAACCACGATCGTTGGAGTCTGCCGCGACTGAGAGACGCAACTTTGAACAGTGAATTGCGTCGTTTAAGATTACCTGTACATCGACATATGTACTGAAATGGGGGGAAAATGGATTGTTTAAATAAGCGGCAACCGTTCTGATCCCGATTAAGCTCATAACATAAAGATTTCTCTGACGCTTCAAGCTTACCTAAACTCCGTTCTAAGGCTTCAGAGAGCATAAAGCACACGTAAAAGACCCACGCTGTGAAAACACGACTTGATCACGTGGTCAGCTCATTGCGTGCATCTCGTGCAACACGTGATATTGTGTTTATAACATGTGATGGAGATAATCAGCTCCCTCTTTCATGCTGTTAAAACGATATCGTATTTTTCTCTTAAAATAGTCTGTATTTTTATTATAATTTGAAAGTAAATAGCATAGTAAAAAGCTATCTGTCACATTAACCTGTTGGACGAAGTTGGTCTGATGGCTGTCGAATGAGAGCTTCTATTCCGGTCTATGGGGGTGGAAGGACCAAGCGGGAAGTGGGTCGGCAGGTAAGGCCTCGGTGTCCTGACTCAACCTCACCTACTTCGGTCCCACGAAAGGACGTATACTTCAAAATTACATACAACTGTAATAAGAGGTGATTAATACGTGAATGTGTCACACCAGCTCCTCTCCACCCCTATCAATAATGGACTGGTCCTATTCTCTCAACGACTATTGAAAGCATGCGAGGAATGGAGAAATGCAGATTCACATGCTGCACGCAGTCGATATATGTAATACTTCGTGACAGGCTGTCTGCAACAGATTTCCTTGAGAAATGATTCCATTGGGTATCGAAATGAATTGTTTTGACAGCTTGATGACGGCGTGCTTGGAGACACTGGTATTTGGTTAAGGTTTAACTCGGATAGTGTGGGTTCGAATCCAGACTGGGTTTTGGTATGGTATGGTTTGGTTGTTGTTTAACACCACACTCAGCAATATTCCAGCTATATGGTGGCGGTCTGTAAATAATCGAGTCTGGACAAGGCAATCCAGTGATCAACAGCATGAGCATCGATCTCGATATGTGTCAACCAAGTCAATGAGCCTGGTCACCAGATCCCGTTAGTCGCCTCCTACGACAAGCATGGGTTGCTGAAGACCAATTTTAACCTGTATCTAATGGGTTCTAGATTGGGTCTCACTCCAATAAGTACCAGCATTCGCACTACTGAGGCAGTATAGCATATGTTACATTAATGAAAAACATACTTTATCTATTCTCAAGCTCCATGTCTTTCAAAAAGACCATGTTTGGAAATCTTTCTATAAAAAAAACAAATTTCCAACACGTTTGGCACACTATTGTATTATGTTGATTTCGGAACGATAAGATAAGTTGATATAAAAACGACTTTAAACACACGTGTTCGCGAAGTGCTTATCGGTAAAACTAGGCAATGGTTAGATTAAAAAGTCAAAAATTACTTCACATATCCCCACTTGTACTCTTTTATGTTTCAGCTGTTTCAGCTGTCCGTGGTGTGGTGGTTAGAGCGTCCGCCCGAAGAGCGGAAGGTCGCGGGTTCGATCCCCAACCGCGTCATACCAAAAGTCGTTAAAATATGGTACTTGTTGGTCCCTGCCTGGCGCTCGGCATTAATGGGTACAACAAGGACTGGTCGGCGCGGAGTCGGTATAATGTGTCTGAGTGGGGTATTCATGCTTCACTGCGGCATGGTATCTCAGTGGGCAAGCACTATAAAACCAGTTTAAGTCTGGGCTAGTACAAGCAGCCACACATACACATACACACGCATGCACGTCGTCATACGACGTTAAACCCCATACCACCTCACCTTCAGCTGTTGATTATAAGGTGGGTTAGTGACCCACAATGTGTTATTCGTGGTGGCAGCAGAAAGCTTGTGTAATAAAAACAATCCTTCCGGACCAGATTACTAAAGGCCAGGTCAAGACACAACTGTCGTCATTCTTTATCGGTGTAAGAATTATTTAAATAAAACATTACATTAACCTTATGGAAACACATCTAGCCCTTAATCTGTGTATTCAAAGTTTGAAGCGCTGTGGTTCTAATCGCGGACATAAGCGAGTATCTGCGAGAATTAGCGTGATCTACCGTACAATGGCAGTGTTAATGGTGAGTTTCAGTCGAGTGGATGAATTGGATTCAGTGTAGATTTAATATAGGCTCACTGTTGTGTCACAACCAGTCCGATTAGTTCCTCGTTGAAGGAGCAGGCGTATGAAATTGTGGAACACGAAGTGAGGCCCATATTATTTGTCAAGGTACTGACACCATCTGAACAAACTTTATCAAAGCGATCTGCTGTAAGTCTATGTTAAAGAGTGGGAGCTACGATTACGTTAGCGCTACGACTACCGTAAGTCAAACTGCCGTAAGTTAAATATGTTTATGTAGGTCGTAAGCCTTTTGGGAGTCACGGTCCCCTTTGCTCTACGACTGTCGTAAGTCTATGTTAAAGTATGGGAGTTACGGTCACCTTTGCTCTACGGCTGTCGTAAGTCTATGTTAAAGTATTGGAGTTTCGGTCACCTTTGCTCTACGGCTGTCGTAAGTCTATGTTAAAGTATGGGAGTTTCGGTCACCTTTGCTCTAGGGCTGTCGTAAGTCTATGTTAAAGTATGGGAGTTACGGTCACCTTTGCTCTAGGGCTGTCGTCAGTCTATGTTAAAGTATGGGAGTTACGGTCACCTTTGCTCTACGGCTGTCGTAAGTCTATGTTAAAGTATGGGAGTTACGGTCACCTTTGCTCTACGGCTGTCGTCAGTGCATGTTAAAGTATGGGAGTTACGGTCACCTTTGCTCTACGGCTGTCGTAAGTCTATGTTAAAGGTATGGGAGTTTCGGTCACCTTTGCTCTACGACTGTCGTGAGTCTATGTTAAAGTATGGGAGTTACGCTCACCTTTGCTCTACGGCTGTCGTAAGTCTATGTTAAAGTATTGGAGTTTCGGTTACACCTTTGCTCTACGACTGTCGTGAGTCTATGTTAAGGTATGGGAGTTTCGGTCACCTTTGCTCTACGGCTGTCGTAAGTCTATGTTAAAGTATTGGAGTTACGCTCACCTTTGCTCTACGGCTGTCGTAAGTCTATGCTAAAGTATGGGAGTTACGGCCACCTTAGCGGTACGACCTCGTTGTGGAACAGGGCCGATATTAGTCACGGTGAGTTCTGTTCCGTATTTTTGAGGAATGTCATCATAAACATATTATTGAATGTAACAGTGATATAATTCTAGAAAGTGTGATCTATTTGAGAGTTGTGGTATCTGTTACAGTTACTTGTTTTTGTACTACACGTTCATCACGTGGTCAGCAACGTCAAGAGTAACGCCATTAACAACACCCACAACGTAAGCAGCGACATCATCGACATGAAAGTTCGAATTCGAAGAGCATCGAGTGAGTTTGTGTTTTTTCCATCTGCTGTGTGTGAGTGAGCCATGCGTGAGTTAAAAAATTTGTTCCTTTGTTTTTTTGCTTAACGTTGCACTCAGCAGAATTCCAACTAAACTCACCGGCGAAAGAACCGTCACCAAAATGATTTTTTTATCTTTTATCGTACACTAAGTGATTATTCATATCTGTAGTTCACACTTTCATCATTCAGAATGTTGTAAAACCATTAATTTTCCAAATATGATTGTTAAATTTCCAAAATCTGAGTTTGCTGTTTTGTGACTTGTTAAAAAAGCGAGGTGACTTTTCTTCGCCCGTGAGTGTATATGACGGTGGTCTGTAAGTAATCGAAACTGGACCAGACAATCGGGTGAATGACAGCATGAACATCCATCTACGTAAGCAATAGAAGGAACAACTTTTATGTAACAGCGAACGGGCAAAATATTAGAGACAAAAATATGATAATACATGTTTTTTTATTCAGGAAATGTTATTCTTTATTTATTCTTTAGCAACAATGAAGCTGGTCGGGGGTCAGTGGCCTTGGGAGGGACGGCTCGTTATAACGGGAACCGATGGGAATCACGGGTCTATGTGTGCAGAGATGATGACAAAGAATGACAGAAACGTCATCTGTAAACACTTGTTCTACCAGAGATTGTGAGTATAGCAACACAGTACGTCATCTGTAAACACTTGTTCTACCAGAGATTGTGAGTATAGCAACACAGTACGTCATCTATAAACACTTGTTCTACCAGCGATTGTGAGTATAGCAACACAGTACGTCATCTGTAAACACTTGTTCTATCAGAGATTGTGAGTATGTACACAGTACGTCATACGTCATCTGTAAACACTTGTCCTACCAGAGATTGTGAGTATAGCAACACAGTACGTCATACGTGATCTGTAGACACTTGTTCTACCAGAGATTGTGAGTATATACAAAGTATGTCATCTGTAAACATTTGTTCTACCAGAGATTGTGAGTATATACACAGTACGTCATCTATAGACACTTGTCCGACCAGAGATTGTGAGTATAGCAACACAGTACGTCATCTGTAAACACTTGTTCTACCAGAGATTGTGAGTATATAGCAACACAGTACGTCATCTGTAAACACTTTTCCTACCAGAGATTGTGAGTATAGCTACACAGTACGTCATACGTCATCTGTAAACACTTGTCCTATCAGAGATTGTGAGTATATACACAGTACGTCATCTATAGACACTTGTCCTACCAGAGATTGTGAGTATAGCAACACAGTACGTCATCTGTAAACACTTGGTCTACCAGAGATTGTGAGTATAGCAACACAGTACGTCATCTGTAGACACTTTTCCTACCAGAGATTGTGAGTATAGCTACACAGTACGTCACACGTCATCTGTAAACACTTGTCCTACCAGAGATTGTGAGTATATACACAGTACGTCATCTGTAGACACTTGTCCTATCAGAGATTGTGAGTATAGCAACACAGTACGTCATCTGTAAACACTTGTTCTACCAGAGATTGTGAGTATAGCAGCACAGTACGTCATCTGTAGACACTTTTCCTACCAGAGATTGTGGGTATAGCTACACAGTACGTCATACGTCATCTGTAAACACTTGTCCTACCAGAGATTGTGAGTATATACACAGTACGTCATCTGTAGACACTTGTCCTATCAGAGATTGTGAGTATAGCTACACAGTACGTCACACGTCATCTGTAAACACTTGTCCTACCAGAGATTGTGAGTATAGCAGCACAGTACGTCATCTGTAGACACTTTTCCTACCAGAGATTGTGAGTATAGCTACACAGTACGTCATACGTCATCTGTAAACACTTGTCCTACCAGAGATTGTGAGTATAGCACACAGTACGTCATCTGTAGACACTTGTCCTACCAGAGATTGTGAGTATAGCTACACAGTACGTCACACGTCATCTGTAAACACTTGTCCTACCAGAGATTGTGTGTACAACTACAAAGTACATCTTTTTATATATCTAGTTTTGGTATGTTTAATGAGTGAACCTGAAAACACATTGTGTCACGTATGAGTGAGTGAGTTGGTTTAACGCAACTGTAGTACTCTCCCAGTTGTATCACGGCATGTCACCTGATGGGGCAGGTCTCTGACGGTCAGGGTGGTCTGGTAGCCTAGTGGTTATAGCGTTCGCTGGTCACGCCGAAGACCCGGGTTCGATTCCTCACATGGGTACAATGTGTGAAGCCCATTTCCGGTGTCCCCCGCCGTGATATTGCTGGAATATTGCTAAATGTGGTGTAAAACTAAACTCACTCACTCACCCTGGCGGTCAAGGTGCTGACGTACCTTCAATCAAAGGTTTCTGACGGGTCCAAGGGGCGTTACTCTGCGAATTACGGCGCGTTAGACCATTGGTTACCCATGCCTCACGTCACAATAAAACAATCCACATTTATAACCTAAGGCGTGTATGGCATGAAATTATAACACAAATATGCGTCACAAATTAGCCGTAAATGGTGCATGCGTAAATTACGTATTCCATATTAAACGTATGTGTCTTTACTTCAGTAATATGTTTGGTTACGCTGCCAACACGTCGATGTTTGGCGGTGACGTCGACCCCAGAGTCCTCAACGTGGCGCCAAAGTGCACGGGTGATGAAAGTGACGTGACTGACTGTCCAGGGTTCGCGTCCATCTGGTCAGACAGATCTGTGTGCAGCAAGGGACAGGCTGCCATCATCTGCATCTGTAAGTTTATATCTATCGCCATGTTGCGTTTCTCAGTTTCCTCGTTTCTCAGTGTCTTCTGAAAACCGGGAAGATCCGGGTTAGAACTGGTCTTCAGCAACCCATGCTTGTCGTAAGAGGCGACTAAAGGGTGGTCAGGCTCGCTGACTTGTTTGACATATGTCATCGTATCCCAATTGCGTAGATCGATGCTCATGCTGTTTATCACTGGATTGTCTGGTCCAGACTGGATTATTCACAGACCGTCGACATATAGCTGGAATATTGCCGAGTGCGGCGTAAAACAATAAACAAGCAAACGAACAGTTTCTTCTGACTGAATTTTATTTCATTCAATCAAATGAAAGTATTACTAATTGTGTTTTGTCCTATTGTCATTAGCATGCAGGCCATTATAAACACGTTATAATATTCCCTGATACTCTAAATCTGATCTCAGCGAGATCAGCGAGCCTGACCACTGGCGTCTGTCGTTGATCTTCACTGACGTCTGACGTTGATCTTCACTGGCGTCTGGCTTTTATCTTCACGTGTGTCTGTTGTTGATCTGCACGTGTGTCTGTTGTTGATCTTCACGTGTGTCTGTTGTTGATCTTCACGCGTGTCTGTTGTTGATCTGCACGTGTATCTGTGTTGATCTTCACGTGTGTCTGTTGTTCATCTTCGCGTGTGTCTGTTGTTGATCTGCACGTGTGTCTGTTGTTGATCTTCACGTGTGTCTGTTGTTCAGCTGCACGTGTATCTGTGTTGATCTTCACGTGTGTCTGTTGTTGATCTTCACGGGTGTCTGTTGTTCATCTGCACGTGTATCTGTGTTGATCTTCACGTGTGTCTGTTGTTCATCTTCGCGTGTGTCTGTTGTTGATCTGCACGTGTGTCTGTTGTTGATCTTCACGTGTGTCTGTTGTTCATCTGCACGTGTGTCTGTTGTTGATCTTCACGTGTGTCTGTTGTTCATCTGCACGTGTATCTGTGTTGATCTTCACGTGTGTCTGTTGTTGATCTTCACGTGTGTCTGTTGTTGATCTTCACGGGTGTCTGTTGTTCATCTGCACGTGTGTCTGTTGTTGATCGTCACGGGTGTTTGTTGTTGATCTTCAGCTGATTTAGGCATCATCTTCACGCAACCCCGACATCGTCCGGTGACGGCAGGACGACCGGAGGTGTATTACTACGGGTCTTGGGGGACTATATGTAACAAGGGAATCACACAGAGGGAGATCACTATGTTGTGTACCTTCAACCAGTACTGGTGAGTGGCTGGGATCTCTACTGATGTTACAAGGTGTCAACGGCCGATTATTCATGTCTCTGACGACATTTTTGTCTATCTAGACTATATTCGGTAAATAAGTCCAGCAATTCTGTGAGAATTTTATTTCATTCTATTTTATATTATGTTATGTTATGTAATGTTTTCAACGTTGTCAGGCCACCCACACCCAGTTGAACTCGTCAGCACTCGCAGGAATCCATATTGGAAATAATTCGTGCACATTATCAACACAATAAAGGGTTAACAATTATGTTCTTGCGATGTTTCAGTATTTGGCACTGTCAAATCAATTTCTAAACATATGTTGACCATCAATTATGCGCATTGTATGCTTGTTTCAGTTGTAATCACGTCAGTCTCTTGTGATTGTGTGTATAGGGCCCGTAAGTAGGTCACGGCACTTCGCGAGACCTTAGTACTTCCGGTGACAAACAATGTTTGATACCTTTCCGAATGTTCGCATCGTTTGCCAGTCGACAGTATTGAATCGATATTCCTTGCAGGAATAACACATTTCCGATCTAACCATCCCCAAATTAGCCAACTATTACGACTGTCAACAGCTGTGACAGCCAAGTATGGGTGTACACTTGGTCCGGTCTAGTAAAGTCATAATTGGCGGTCGCGCAATTTGGAACCAGAACTGGTTCTTGAACATACGCTGGTCACCGGAAACCTGGTACCGGAAGTAAGCTGGGCCCCGTCTCGCATATCGTATGTTTGCGCGGGCAAAGGGAGCCGGGAACCAGCTTAATACCGGAAGTAGCACCTCGCAAGACTATGTTCTGTGCGTCTGTGTACGCTCATGTGTCAATCATTAAAACCAATTCTTTGATAACATCTAATCATTTCATGCTGATAAAACATATTTCTGTGCGCAAGGACATCGTTTGGTAAAATGGTTTCCGCAAGCCAGTTCGGGAACAGCAACCATCCAACCAAAATACAGAACCTCCAGTGTGTCGGCAACGAGCCGTCCATTGACTACTGCACGTGGGAGAATAGCACGTGCAGCCATAACCTGGATGTCGGGATCTCGTGTGAAAAGAGGCACATTGGTACACTACTGCTCATAAATAACTTCCTTTTGTTCACGATAATTGCGATATGATAACAACGGTTTCTGAGGGAGGTTCTGATGAAGAAGGTAGAAAGCAGAGTGTGTATGATATTTTGTCCAATGTAACAGATGAATGGAACTCCAATTCCAAATACATTTATACATGGTGTGTTCAAGTGAACATATTGGGGAAGACGTCCACGGTGAATATAGGGTAAGTGTTATCCAAGTGAAAGGCGTAAAAAGGGGAATACAGGCTAAATGGTATCTGTATGGAGGTGAGGTGAGGTGAAATTGGTTTTAACGTCGTGCTTGAGAATATTTCGCTCATATGACGACGTGCATGCGTGTGTATGTGTATGTGTGGCTGCTTGTACTAGCCCAGACTTAAGCTGGTTTTATAGTGCTTGCCCACTGAGATACCATGCCGCATTGAAGCATGAATACCCCACTCAGACACATTATACTGACTCCGAGCCAACCAGTCCTTGTTGTACCCATTAATGCCGAGCGCCAGGCAGGGACCAACAAGTACCATATTTTAACGTCTTTTGGTATGACGCGGTCGGGGATCGAACCCGCGACCTTCCGCTTTCCGGGCGGACGCTCTAACCACTACACCACGGAGGCGGTCGTATCTGTATGGAAGGCGTCCACGGTGAATATAGGGATAAGTGTTATCAAATGGAAGGCATAAAAAGGGGAACGTAGGCTAAATGTTATTTGTATGGAAGGCGTCCACGGTGAATATAAGGTAAGTGTTATCTGTATGGAAGGCGTCTAAGGGGAATATAGGGTTAATGTTATCCAAATGAAAGGCGTCCACAAAGACTAAAGGGCAAGTGTCCAACGGGATTCGAAACCGCGTCCTCCGTGTGAAGAGCGAAATGTTCAAATGTTCACCTCTGTCCGACCGCAGTGAGATTAACACATATGTGTATTAAAGTTCAAAGGGGGAAGATGAAATATAGCATATGCTGATAAACTATATGTGTATAAGGCAATGAGAGTGCAAGGGACATATTTAAGATTATGTATAAGATAATGTGCGAAACACAAGGGGAAGATACAGAAAACGCTAACCACGGGACGATGGGGAAAGATACGAGATGAGTATTTCTAGGATAATATAGGGAAGATGTGCAGGGTATGATATCATGGATGTTATCAGTAAAGGGTAATAAGGTCAACAGTTTGACATACCGGTGTGTTTCAGACGGTCATGACATCACCCTGACGGGGGGACCTCAGCCCTGGAAGGGCCGATTCGAGGTGCATCTGTCCAACAGAAACATCACAGCATCTGTCTGTAGTGGAGATATGTGGTTCTCCCCAACAGACGCTGTCCTCGTTTGTCGGAGTATGGGATTCAGGTAGATGGACCTTGTTTGTTTGTTTGTTTATTGTTTAACGCAGCAATATTACGCCGGTCTGTAAATAATCGAGTCTGGTCCAGACAATCCAGTGATTAACATCATGACAATTGATTGCGCAAATGGGATGCGATGACATGTCTTCAAATGTCAGCGAGTCTGACCGATCTTACGACAAGCATGGGTTGAAGAAGATCAACTCCGACCAATATCTTCACGATTCGTTCGACAGTTGATGGTTGCTCAAGAAACAGTTTACTTACATTTTCCAATCCATCCTTACTGTAAAGTTTGCACACATGCAAATAACTTTGGGAATCGCTTAATACGGCTGGCCGCCGTGCCCAATTGGAAAGATCTATTCAGGATATTTTACCTTAGATCTTGTTTTGCTATTTAGTTTATTGTTTAATGCACCAGGGCGGAAGACCCGGTTCGATTCCCCACATGGGTAAAACGTGTGAAGCACATTCCTGGTGTCCCCGCCGTGATATTGCTGGAATATTGCTAAAAGCGACGTAAAGCCAAACTCACTCACTCGTTGATGAAAACACGGCAATACAAATGCTGCAAGACGACATCATGAACATATTTGAGATACGATGACACCCAACCGACGAATACACAGATCCTGACCATCCGATCCACTTGGTCGCCTCACTCGGCTAGCTTAGGTTACTGAGGATCAGTTCAGTTGAGTCACGTGGGAGACCTAATGTCTGAATAAAATAATGTTCAGCATTGCTTCTGAAATAGACACGGTCGGTGCGGTAGCCTAGTGGTTGAAGCGTCCGCTGGTCACGCCGAAGTCCCGAGTTCGATTCCCCACATGGGTACAAAATGTGTGAAGCCCATTTTTTGGTGTCCCCCGCCGTGATCTTGCGGGAATATTGTTTAAAACTCACTCAATCCGGTAAAGACCTTCCGTCTGGTTCGAGAAAGGGACATGTCGGCCACGGTGTCACGTGTTTTTATTATGGTCACCCTAACTCCAAATTGAAGAAAATATACTGAAACTACGCATCTACTCGTTCATAAACGTGTAATCCGATTAACGAGTAATTCATATATTCACCTCTCTGAATCTGGATTTTGATATCGTTAATAAATTACCATTTCGCCTCTAACTCTCCCATACTCAGAATTTTATTAAGCGCCGCGAGCAATCACTTGGTGTGCGCTATAGAAGATGACTTATTAATTTTTATTATTATATATACCGCAGCAAAGGGGGGAAATCCCTCCCACCAATGCCGGTGTCGCCTACAGCACCCAACATCATGCAACAGCTATACTGTGTTGGGTTCGAGTCTAACATCGGAGAGTGCAACGGCAGGTGGATCCGGGACAGCAACGATTGCCCCACCTTTCCACCACTAGTGGGGGCTGTGGACTGCACCCCGGGTAGGTCTGAAAAGGGGTGGGTGGGGCTGCTAGTCCAGCAAAACGTTGGCCTGTGCTAACGCCGTTGCTTCTGGATAGTGGGAATACAAGCGGTGGGGTAGCCTAGTGGTTAAAGCGTTCGCTCGTCACGATGACGATCCGCAAGAATGAATAGGTCAAGATTTTACGTCACATCTGCAATATTTCAGCCTTACAAACAAGTACTAAATACATGATAAATGCAGACTTGAATAATAAAAACCTGTCAATTTAGTACAGTATAAAACACAAGAAGATCACAGATATGAATATAAAACTAGTTTGTAAATCTAAAACTTTCTTACTATTAATACAATAAGACATACAAACAGGCAATAGATCGCCAGCATCTGAAGGTAGATCACCATACTAGGGACCATGGGGACTTACAGTGCTTTTGCTTCCTGCATGGACCCTTGCTGGATTTACATCATCCCTTCAGTCGTTGGCGATCGTCAAGGATAAATCTTGTAAACATGAGCTAGAGCTGTTATATAAACAAACGCAAGTGTGTGTATATGAATCTCTCACCGTTCAGGGTTCTATCCTTATTAACAACTTCAAATTAATCAACACAATTCTGTTAGACATGTTCTTTGTAATGTCAAACTGACTATGCATAATTTTCACGATACTAACTATCACATAATTTCAAGTACTCGGATTATTTCATCAAATCACTTCAGTCCTGTAAGTTGGCCGCATTTGTGCACATTCATCGGCTGTTATCATATCATAGTCACTTCAGGAAATTAGTTCCAATTTGGATTCGTAACAGTTCTAGCTGAGGTCCAAACATTGGACTGAGTTACCCGCGTACCTGTGCTATACTGAATGTCCAGTAGATCTGTGTTGACAAGACTCCCAAAACGATCTTAGTTCTAAGGCGATCCACAAACATTCAAAGTAAGTTTAAACCTACCACATTTTTAATAGTAGTATGTTGTTATTTGAAGTAATGGTTAAATCTCGGTACAATTGCCAATTGAGGGGAGATATATATCCAGCTAGGATCCATGCACGAAGCAAAGTATTGTAAGTCCCATGGTCCCTGGTGTGGCGATCTCCAGCCCGGTTTTATCTTGTATTGTTCTAAATAGAGTTCTAATTTTAAAGTTAAGCTTGCTAGTTTTAATTCTATCTGGGATACTCTAGTTGTTTTACTATCCTTTGGTGACGGAATTTATAATGAAACATTATTTCTTATCACTGTCTAACTTGTTTTAGTGACGATTTGGCTGAAATACTGATGTGACTAGATATCTCAACTCGCTCACTCTTAGACGAGCATACGATTAGACGATCAAAAAGAATGTAGCCTCGCCAAGAAAATGATGCAAATGCAGTTATTTTCATGTGTTATTGTTCTACATATTATCTGTTAACCTCCAGCAAATGGGTTTTGCTATGTTCCAGTCTCACGATCCCCATTTTGCATGACCTTTTATCTTGGTACCCTAAAAAAACGCAATATCTGCAATAAATGCATCACACGTTAGGAAACAAAATATGCAAGAAATATGTGTGTTTGAGATAGATAGAATTCCGCTAGAATCAAACTTAGACATTAAAGGGCATAAAAATACAAACTGAACCTTCCACCGCTTGTACTGATGTGTTGTGACGACTAATATCTCGTTAACCACATTACCCACGTATGCGAAATTTTGGGTAGGGCTTTGCTAATGATTCTTTAAAATAAAATGTAAGCTTTTCAAACATTGGACATCGAAAATATAGTTAGACTACGTACGTTTTGAACGACTACCACACTTTAACACAGACATGCGCAGTGGCCGCGCTACGGTCACTCAGTGGAACGGTTCCTCCTCAAATTCTCTATCGCAATACTCATTAGATAAAAGCGGAACCATGCAATTCAAGAACACCAGAAACATTATTTGTTACAAAACCTTAATGCATTCTGCTTCTCTTTAACAGATGGTTTGGAGGTAAAAGTCACAGCCGGAAAGTTGCCCTTTGAAGGAACAGTCGAAATTCTGTCAAACGGACACTGGTCAACGGTGGACAGTACGTCTGTGAACGAGAACGAGGCTAAGGCAATTTGTTCTACTATGGGCTTTCAGTGAGTGGTGATTTAGTTACAGCCACATTTACACCTAATCTGAATATCCACCACATCCTATATCATTTAAATTATCAATCCGATGGAGAGAATTTCTTATACTATTATCATGCACACTATGTGTGTGGGTCAAGGTCACTTCCGGAAAGTTTCCATTTGAAAGAGCAGTTCAAATTCTCTCTCTCACACACATAGGTCAAGGTCACTTCCGGAAAGTTTCCATTTGAAAGAACGGTTCAAATTCTCTCATACATTGGTCAAGGTCGATTCCGGAAATTTGTCACTCAAATTCTTTCTTTACTTGAGATACAGCCAGACAAAGTCGTTTTGAAGCTTTCCTTCCGCAAACAGGAAATGACGTATTTTCTGGAACATCCACGTCAAATTATACAAGATGAATTTAAAAGAAAGAAATCTTTCCAAACCATCACAACTTAGAAACAATAGCTCACAACCCGAACGAATACATATTTCTTTCATTATTGAACGTGACGTATATCATGCCTTTATGTCACAACTAATTTTCTTACCAATCACAGGTTTCACGTGCAATACATGTAAATCATGCACATGTTTGTTGATGGGTTTGTTGATTGTTTAACGCTGCACTCAGCAATTGTCAATTTAGCGCTCTGTAAATAATCGAGTCTGGACCAGATAATTTAGTGATCAACAACATGACCAACGATCTACGCAATAGGATACGATGACATGTGTGAACCAAGTAAGCGAGCCTGACCACCCGATCCTGTTAGTCCCCTCTTACGACAAGCATGGGTTGCTGAAGACCAATTCTAACCGGGATCTTCACGGGTACCATGCACATATGCAGCATTGGATTCCATATTACGAACAAACAATGAGTTTCGGGTGATTTCGCACAGGGACACAACTCCACGAATATTTCCGGCGGATCACTTCCGTTTTCCGGGGCATCTTCCGATTGTATCCCTACACTGCCCGAGCTACGCTATCCACATAGGCCAATGTGACATCAAAGGTGCCGCAAATCCCAACGCAAAGCATGCTGGGATACATTGCTTTGGTGAGTTGGACACATGAAGTGTTGATATATGCCATCAAATAAATTATCCATCTCACAAATAATTATATGAGACAACTAACAGATGATCTTGGAGCTGGTGGCTGAGTTGATGTTGAGAATTCGGATTCATTCTACACTTTCATTCATTCTCATGTCTTGAAAATTAAATTAGGGACCGTTAATAATTTATGGCTAGGGAGTGATGGTGATTTTTATGGAGAAAGCATGTACAATGTGAGTGACCCCCTTAAAATTTATGTACAAAGTTAGTGAACCCCCTGCATGTCATGCACAAAATCAAAACCCTCCCCTTCCAATTTTTTCTTAGCTTAATTTTTAAATATTTTAATGTTCCAAACTGCTGCTCCCCAGTGCATGTGTACAAAATTGATGACCCCCCTATCTCCCAAAACAAAATCCTTCAAGTCGCCATCACCCACAATGCAATCTCACAGCTACGTCCATCAGGAACCAAACTTAAAACCGTTTGTTAACCATGCTCTTCAAGAACTGCACCTGTGATTCTGTAGACTGTGGTCTCCAGTACTACGGCCACGACACCGGCGTCATCACGTCAGACAACTACCCCGCGGCGGTGACCGGCGACGTGGATTGTCTGTACCACATCAGAACTACGGGTCAGCAGCAGAAATACAGGTTTTATTTCACTGACCTGCACCTCGGGAACCATGGCCATGTGACGGTGAGTAGTGAGTGAGTGAGTATGGTTTTACGCCGCTGATAACAATATTCCAGCAATATCATGGGGACACCAGAAATGGGCTTCAAATATTGCGCCAATGTGAGAAATCGAACCCGGGTCGTCGGCGTGTCGAGCGAACACTTTAACCACCAGGCTACCCCATGATAAGTAATCAAGTCAACAGCTGTGTTAAACATCATGGGTGTGCAATGTATTTCAAACAAAGGTCCGGGTTAGAATTGATCTTCAGCAAACCATGCTTGTCGTAAGAGGCGACTAACGGGATCGGGTGGTCAGGCTCGCTGACTTGATTGAAAGATCATCGTATCCCAATCATCGATGTCCATGCTGTTCATCACCGGATTGTCTGGTCCAGACTCGATTATTTACAGACGGCACCGTATAGCTGGAATATTGCAAAATAACTCAAACAAAAACTTATATTAGTGATTGTTTTGTTGTGGTTGTAAGAGAAAATCCAGTTGAAAATAATTTTCCAGTTCCATAAATCATTCAATATACCTGTAATGCCTGTCAAAGATCCGCGTGGATCCAATGGACCCTCCACTGTCGTCCATCTCGGGCAACCAAGGACCCTCTGACGTCATCTTCACCAAGGATCTCTACATCAGATTCAAGGCCTTGAAAGGCGCCAAGTTCCAGTTCAAATGGGAAAGTATGTATACAAATCACAGACAAAAGATCAGATGCTAGCCTTATGGTTGGTGCGTTCGCTCGACACATGAAAACCTGGGTTCGATCTGACCGAGTACCGTACAGATGTACACATTAGTAGCTAGGTTCTAGTACATCAGTTGTTAATAACATGTGGAACGATGAGTCAATATCTCATATACAACTTATATGAACCATGAAGATCCGGGTTAGAACTGATCTTCAGTAACCCATGCTTGTCGTAGGAGGCGACTAACGGGATCGGGTGGTCAGGCTCGCTGACTAGGTTGACACATGTCATCGCATCCCAACTGCGTAGATCGATGCTCATGCTGTTGATCACTAGATTGTCTGGTCCAGACTCTATTATTTACTGGCCGCCGCCATATAGGTGCTATATTTGCTGAATGCGGCGTAAAACTAAACTCACTCACTTATATCTTATGTATAGTGTGTCATCGGACGATAACCGCGTGGGTCAGTGCTCTTGCTACCAACCACTGTTTCGTCTGATCAAGCATGGGTTAATGGTATAGGGGTATTAAAATATACAGTTAAAATTGTAATTTGAAAGGCGTGTTATTTTCTTTGTTTATCGCTGGTGGTGGTGTTGTTGTTTAAATATGTTTGTAGTAGTAGTAATAGTAGTAGTAGAAGCAGCAGCAATAGTGGTAGTATCAGTAGGCGTGGTGGTGGTGGAATTGGGTTTAACGTCGTGCTTGAGAATATTTCGCTCATATGACGACGTGCATGCGTGTGTATGTGTATGTGCGGCTGCTTGTACTAGCCCAGACTTAAGCTGGTTTTATAGTGCTAGCCCACTGAGATACCATACAGCAGCGAAGCATGAATACCCCACTCAGACACATTATACTGACTCCGAGCCGACCAGTCCTTGTTGTACCCAACATGCCGAGCGCCAGGCATGGACCAACAAGTACCATATTTTAACGTCTTTTGGTATGACGCGGTCGGGGATCGAACCCGCGACCTTCCGCTCTCCGGGCGGACGCTCTAACCACTACACCACGGAGGCGGTTGCAACAGTGGTAGTAGTAGTAGCAGCAGAAGTAGCAATAGCAGAAGTGAGTGAGTGAGTTTAGTTTTACGCCGCACTCAGCAATATGCCAGCTATATGGCGGCTGTCCGTATATAATCAAGTCTGGACAAGACAATCCAGTGATCAACAGCATGAGCATCGATCAGCGCAATTAGGAACCGATCCCGTTAGTCGCCTCTTACGACAAGCATGGGAAAGTGAAGGCACATTCTAACCCGCACCTTCACGGGTTAGTAGTAGCAGTAGTAGCAGTAGCAACAGTGGTAGTAGTAGTAGCAGTAGCAACAGTGGTAGTACTAGTAGTAGTAGCAGTAGCAACAGTGGTAGTAGTAGTAGTAGCAGTAGCAACAGTGGTAGCAGTAGTAGTATTAGCAGTAGCAACAGTGGTAGTAGTAGTAGTAGTAGCAGTAGCAACAGTGGTAGTAGTAGCAGTAGTAGTAGCAACAGTGGTAGTAGTAGCAGTAGTAGCAGTGGTAGTATTAGTTGTAGTAGTAGCAGTAGCAACAGTGGTAGTAGTAGTAGTAGCAGTAGCAACAGTGGTAGTAGTAGCAGTAGCAACAGTGGTAGCAGTAGTAGCAGTAGTAGCAACAGTGGTAGTAGTAGTAGCAGTAGCAACAGTGGTAGTAGTAGTAGCAGCAGTAGTAGCAGTAGCAACAGTGGTAGTAGTAGTAGTAGTAGTAGTAGCAGCAGTAGCAACATGGGTAGTAGTTGTAGTAGCAGTAGCAACAGTGGTAGCAGTGGTAGTAGTAGTAGCAGTAGTAGTAGCAGTAGCAACAGTGGCAGGAGTAGTAGTAGCAGTAGTAGTAGTAGTAGCAGCAGTAGCAACAGTGGCAGGAGCAGTAGTAGTAGCAGTAGTAGCAGCAGTAGCAACAGTGGTAGCAGGAGTAGCAACAGTGGTAGTAGTAGTAGCAGTAGCAACAGTGGTAGTAGTAGTAGTAGCAACAGTGGCAGTAGTAGTAGCAGTAGCAACAGTGGCAGTAGTAGTAGTAGCAGTAGTAGTAGCAGCAACAGTGGAAGTGGTAGCAGTAGTAGTAGCAGTAGCAACAGTGGTAGTAGTAGTAGTAGTAGCAGGAGTAGCAACAGTGGTAGTAGTAGTAGCAGTAGCAACAGTGGTAGTAGTAGTAGTAGCAACAGTGGCAGTAGTAGTAGCAGTAGCAGCAGTGGCAGTAGTAGCAGTAGTAGTAGTAGTAGTAGCAGCAGTAGTAGTAGCAGCAACAGTAGTTGTAATAGTAGTAGTAGTATTGATTATACTAGTAGTTTAGTAATATTTATATTTATCATTGTTGATGTTGCTGATATTGATGTTGTTCATGTTGTTATTAGCCTATACGGGTGGCCGTAAGGAACTAGAACAAACAGTCTCCGTACAGTGCACCCCGGATGCCATCACAGCTTCTGTGGACCTTCCAAAACTCAAGGCAGCGTTTGTCAATACCGACCCCTCACACCTGTATCTCGGTGACGTCACGTGTACAGGTGTAACCCATGGCAACATGTGGTCAGCTACAGCAAATCACGGCTCCTGCAAAACGCAAAGACAGGCCAGTATTCAGCTGGATAACCACAGCCACACAAGAACAGCTTTTTGAGCAATGATTAGTTGCTAATTGATAACGTTGACAATATTTATGTCGTTGTAAATATGGCGCTACATACGGGTTAACAATGTTCTCCATAGCAATGAACATCCGGGTGAACTGGTCTGCAGCAACCCATGTTTGTGGCACTTAAAGGTGCGTTCTCACGGTGCGACTTGTATTAACAACTTGTAGCATACGACATGTCGTAAGATCGTGTGTACATTTTAAGTCGCATACAACTCGTATCTCACGAGATTCTCGTACTCGTATCTCGCAACATGGATTCGTCGAGTGAAGAAAAGACTCTAGCGTTAATGTCAGTCTACATATCGCAGTCACTGAAAAAGATCACATCTGTTCCGCGACCATAGTCCGTTAAGAATAGGTGGCAAGCTGCACATTACATATACATTCCTGTGGCAAGTAAAAACCTATTAAGATTTAACTAAGTCACTGGTGTAGCTTCTTTAGACTATATATATTCTTCTTCTCATAAAGTTTGTAGATCGCCCGTCTAAGTACTCCCTTGTCAAAGTTGTCAAGGATGGTTTTACGTCCCGGTTTTGCTCTTGAGACGGTCCCTGTCTTATCTGATTTGTTTACAATATTGTAAACTTGTTGGTAAGACATACCAACAGCTCTACAAGTTCTGTAATAAACCCTTTCTAAACTAATGAAAGGTTTACCTCTGTCTTTTTCACGCACAAAAAACTTATAAACCTATGCAACAATCGACTGCAAATAGTTGGCCATAGTGGACGCTGTGATAAAGATGTGCACGCATGACGGGAAACTTATTTATCAAGACTTAACATTTATATTAATATTTCTTCAATAAAGAAACGATAATAAATTAAAGTAACAGAAACATTCAACATTTATTTGTTTAAGAAAAACGTTAATTCATATTTTTTCACCACCTGTATTATTAGCATTAATGTAAAGACTATTTCAGATTTCTGTTGTTGAACTCTGAAAAAATCGTGAGTTGTTGTTTTGGTACCAAATTCTCTCCTGTAAACTGCCCTTTAAATGCATGGGGATGTTAAATCGATTGAAATAATAATTAGGTACACTATAGGCGAGTTGATATATTGACAACATAGTACATTTATCACCTTTATAAAGATATTAAGGCTGAAAAGCATTTTTCTAGCATTTCCGACAGTACTTTAGACTATTTTTTCTCTCTGCGCTTTTGCTCAGACAGTCAAGTTCAGTAAAATGTCTACGAGAGGGGTACGAGTCTTCTTTCAGGTTACGGAAAGGGACGAGTAGTTACGAATGTCAAAGATGGACACGGATCTAAGCGATTTGATTGAACGAGAGCTTGCGACTTGTAGTAGGAGTTAGGTCAAATCCTATGTCTTACAACTCGGCTGCGACTTGTAGGCAATTTCAAACCATTACGATTTGGGTATTCTGACAGTTATGCTACACTTGTTTTTACAAGTCGCACCATGAGAACGCACCTTTAAATGCAACTAAAGGGTGGTCCAGTTTAAGTAAACTTAGGCTCAGTATTATTCGTTACAATGCTATACTGAGTCTAAAATCCTTGTGGAAGGTCGCGTCAGGTAACCTTTTGGACTGACCAATCAGAACACAGCTTACCAAATCGCGAAAGCCGACATTCACACATACCTTTTGATCTTTTACCTCGAAAAAGTTTTGTACCCGAACGATTCCAAATGCTATTTTCCGCACAATCGCTTCCGAGTGATGCACATGGAGCACGCGACAACAGTGAGTAAACAGTCGCTGAAAATGGCGTTTTGTCAGTATTCAAGGATGTCAGCTTGCGGAAATATGAGCTAATGATAACCATGTCAACAGAAACCCAAAAGCGTATATTCTGCAGGTCATATATCTGTGTTTTATGCGGGTTTTCACTTGTTGTGAGATCAGTGTTGGCCACCGGGGAAAAGAAAATCCATTTTGTAAGTCCCGCCGAACCCTAAATAGTAGTCGCTGGCTGATTGGTTAAATCCGTTCGTTCGTCTCGCGTTTGATTGGGACGGTCATAGGTCGCAGAAGGTTACCTGACGCGACCTTCCACAAGGTTTTGTTAGACTCAGAATAGCAGTGTAACGATTAATACTGAGCCTAGTTTACTTAGACTGAGGGTGGCCGGACACACATACTGGGATGATGCTTGTCATCGTTGGTCTCATGCGTATATCGATGTTCATGATGTCATGATGTCATTGCTTGATTGATGCTTTACGCCGCATTCAGCTATGTGTATAAAAATAGTCCATCATGAGCATCGATCAACTCAGCTGCGATAAGATGACATGTGTCAGCCAAGTCAGGGAGTCTGTGCACCCTATCCCGTTAGTCGCCTCTTACGACAAGCTTGGAGTACTGAAGATCACTTCTAACCCGGATCTTCCAGCTTCAGGTGTAGGGATCGAGCCCACCTGTGACCGGGTGTAAAAAACCTTGGAGTCAACTTTGTGTGCAGACTCTTTCAGTGTTGTCACACCCCCTAGTGTACAGTACAAAACCCTGTGCACTTAAAAGAACCTACGAATCCGTTGGTATATGACCAGGTGGTGGCCACATGAATACGTGCAAACACCTAGTTGCGGGTACAGCAACGTGCAGTAAACTTGGACAAAGTACTGTGACCCAGCTGTGAATGGGTACCTCATAAGGATGGGAAAGACACACTAACTCGGTGTGCCTATAGTGGCTGCAGGAGTTGTATGATCCCCAGGGAGTTGAGATTGATAATACGACGTGCCGTTGAGATTGACATCCAGTGATCAAGGAAAAAACAAAGCGCCTTTGAGCAGCTGAGCTGGATATCGGCGCTATACAAATGTTAGCATGTATGTATTTTGCCGTATGATACGACTATATTGTACGAGCGCTTCCAGCAGTGTTTATTTAGCACCTCCTTACAGAGGGTGTATGAGTTTTGAGAGACTCAGGATTACGCCTCCATGAACGACATCATCTGTTACTAGGTAGATGGCGACTTCATCGTCTACAAGACATCCGTCGTGTACAGCCTCCCCGGCACAAACCCCGGCGCCTACATCACAGAGTGGAGCGTAGCCGTCGACTGTGCATTCAAGCGAAATACCACGGTCAAGTCTTAGATTTGTAAATTATTTTGAAGAGCTGGTACATGATTTGTTTAGATTGTACTGCTTGACGATTTGGCGAAAATGGGAGTGAAAGTGAATTATTGCACTTTTATATAAAAGTGTGTGCGCACGTGCGTGCGTCCGCCATTGGGTGCATGCTCGTTCTATTTTGGAATAATGCTGAGTGTTACATGCTAGGCCTTCCCGTGAAGATCAGGGTTAAAATTGATCTTCAGTAATCCAAGCTTGTCGTAAGAGGCGACTAGGGATCGGGTGGTCAGGCTCGCTGACTTGGTTGACAAATGTTGGGAATCGAACCCGGGCTTTAAACTTACTTTGAATGTTTGTGGATCTCCTTAGAACTAATATTGCTTTGTGGGTCTTGGCAACACAGATTTACAGAACATTCAGTATTGCACAGGTAAGCCTTTACTTTCGCGGGTAACTCAGTCCAGTGTTCAGACCTCAGCCAGAACTGTTAAGAAGCCATATTGGAACTAATTTCCTGAAGTGACTATCATATGATAATACCCGATGAATATGCGAAAATACGACAAACTAATGACTGAAGTGTTTTGATAAAATATTCCATAGTACTTAAAGCGGTTATTCGGGATCGGGTGGTCAGGCTCGCCGACTTGGTTGATACATGTCATCGGTTCCCAATAGCGCAGATCGATGTTCATGCTGTTGATGACTGGATCGTGTGATCGAGACTCGATTACCTACAGATCGGCACCATATAGCTGGAATATTGCTGAGTGCGGCGTTAAACAACAATCAATCAATGAACGTGGGAGCCCGCTAAAAATTGAGAACAAACTGACACCAGTTCATATTGAGGTTTCATGAAATCTTGACTACAATCTGGTTTTAATGAGACTAAACAAAACAAACTGGACTGTTTGTAGATAGCTGTACACTTCAGTATTGAAACCTTAAACCAGTACATATAATTTAAACTCTTTGTCTATTTCAAGGCTCAAACAAACAACTCCATCATTAACGAGAGTAACAACGTTGGTGTGAACACCACGTCCCACTACTCCGCCGTCGTGAGGATCTTCAGCGACCGAGGCCTTCACAACGAGGTCAAAGGTCAGCCAATCAGAGTCAAACTTGGGAGTGATTTGTACGCGGAAGTGGAATTTAGCGCCAACTTCCGGGCCAGCTTGAAACTCCAGGGCTGTTCTCTTAAGGATAACCCAACAAACCCGACTGGATATGACCTGATTCAAAACGGGTAGGTAAACCACGATATAATGTAATTACAATATATGTGATATGCATTTCTAATTTTGTTTATCGTTTAATGTCACACTCGGCAACATTCACACTATATGGCGGCGATCTGTGTATATACTCCTAGGCCAAATGTAGAGATAACATCATATCAGGTAATATGATACACCAGGCCTTATCACCCATACTGCATATCCGGATCATATTGATCACCAGTGCTTGTCACCGTCCATTAAACCATGCGGTTAATACTCACGCAGTTGGTCTATGAACATGTGGACACTGTTTCAACAGCGGGGTAATCCTTGTTTGTTTTCAGCAACCTGATACATTCTGTGCCTAGTTCCACATTGGCAAGAATCTCTGGAGGGTGGGAGTTGTCATACTAATTACTGGATAACGCTTTTACTGCTGCTGAGAGATCCTAAAAGATAGGGACTTTTCTAACATTTGGCCTAGGACTATATATGTGGACAAGGCAGGCCAGTGATTAAAATCATGAGCATCGTCATACGATATTGGGAACCGATGACGTATCAACCAAATCGGCGAGTCTGACCTCCTGACGCCGTTAGTCGCCTCTTACAGCAAGCATTGGTTACTGAAGACCATTTCTCAACCGGATATCCACGGGTGCATTCTAATTTCGTTCTCTACTGATTAGAAATA